TCAGCAAATGTAAAATGAATAGTAACTCATGATTATTACATGGTCGGTTTAATATCTAGAAGTTAGTCGATGTAATTGAAAATATTAAGGGAATAAAAGAGAAGAACCATATGATCATTTCAGTAGATGCAGAAAAAGCATTTAACAACACTCAGGATCAATCCATTATAAAAACTCTTAGCAGACTTGGTTAGAAGGGAACTTCTTCAACCTGATTAAAGACATTAAAACACACACCCCAAGATGAAACAAATGGAAAAATCTTGCCACATGCCTCGTGTTGAAAGACCAGATATTTTCCCCTAAGATTATGAATTAGGCAAGGATGTCTGCTCTCTCACTTTGTGCAACTTTGTAGATGAGCTCCTAACCAGTACATTAAAGCAAGGAAAAGACAGAAGTATAAAGTTTGGAAATGAAGAAGTAATACTGTCTTTACTTGTAGTCAACGTGATTATTCATGCAGAAAGTCTTAAGAAATCTACTAAAAAACAACAATAAAGTCCTAGGTTGAATACAATTTAGTAAGGTCATAGGATACAAGTTTAATATACAAAATAAATTATATTAAAAAAATTTTTTTAAGTTTATTTATTTTGAGAGAGGGAGTGTGCAAGTGGGGTAGGGGCAGAGAGAGAGAGGGTGAGAGAGAATCCCAAGCAGGCTTAGAGCCTGCTGTGGGGTTCAAACTCGTGAACTGCAAGATCATGACCTGAGCCAAAATCAAGATCTGGATGCTTAACCAGCTGAGACACCCAGGCGCCCCAATAGATGGTATTTCTGTATACTGGTAAATAGTCAAAATGCAGTTTAAAAATAATGTCACTTGTAGTAGCATCAAAAAATATGAACTGCACATAGGTGAATTTAACAAAATATGTGTAAAATTCACACACTTAAAACTGTGATTATTGAGAGAAGTTTGAAAGGACAGAGATGCCATGTTTATGAATTGGAATACTCAGTATTGTTGAGATGGCCCAATCAAAATGACTTTTTGTGTAAATTGATAGTCTGACTCTAAGAATCTGTATAAAAATGCAAAGCTTGGGCAATAGTAAGAATAATTTTTTAAAAGGAAGAACAACGTTGAAGGATTTATATTACCTTATTTTAAGATTTACTGTAAAGCTGCAGTAATGAAGGCAGTATGGTTTTAGTGTAAGGACAGACACAGAGATCAGTGGCAAAGAACAGAACTCGGAGTGCATGTACATTATACGTGGTTAATTAATTTTCAGTAAAGTTGCTTAGGTAAGTCCGTGACTAAACAGGATAGTCTTTCCAATAAATCATGCTGGATCAGCTACATATTCATATAGAAAAATCACAAACCTTGATTCTTCGTTGTACATAAAAATTAACTTGAAATGGATCATAGATCTAAGCATAAAAGCAAAAAGTATAAAACTTTCAGTAGAAAGCATTGGAGAAAATCTTTGTGACTTTGAGGTAAGAAAAGAGGCTTTAGAATACAAAAAGCATAAGCCACAAAAGGAGAAAAATAGATAAATTGGACTTCATAAAAATTTCTGCCTCTGAAAGACATTAATAAAAAGGTAAGTAAGCCCCAAAACTTGGAGAATGTGTTTGTGACACACACACAAACACACGTGGATGTATTTAGAATATATAAATAATTACATGCCAAAGAAAGTTTATGCATAGTCAGTAAGCACATCAGTTGTCAGAGAAATTAAAATTGAGACCACGACATAACATCCTATACATTCATATTAGAACGCGTAAAATTACAAACACCAGCAATACCGAATACTGACAAGGAGGGTGGAACAGCTAGAACTCTCATCCGTTGTTGCTGCGTGTATAAAGTGGTAGCTCTGGAGAGCTCTTGCTCACTGTCCTGTAGAGTTCAACGTCAGTTACCATACAGCTTGGCAATTTTACTCCCAAATATGTCCATGATGCTCACAAATGAGATCAGATAGTTTTATTTTTCTTACTGAGATTTTTGCATCCGTGGTATGCAGAATCCATAAATTGAATTTAAACTCTCTTTTCCTTTGTTCTATGAAAGTTTATGTAGGAGTTGCTATCCTTAAAATTAGGGTAGAATCTATTCTATGGAACTTCCAGAGTGTGATACTTTTATAGTGGGTAGCTCTTTGAGAACTTCACAGTTTCCTCTGTTTCTTGGTCTGTTTTGCTTGTTTGGATTTTATGTTTATTTCATAAGTCAGAATTATATATAAAACATATATTTTTATATAGTACACATTACTATTTATATTAAACATATAATGCATATATTCTTAGAAAATCATCAGTTTCACTCATTTTTTTTCAAATTTATTGGTACAATATAACTAAAGTGGCCTTTTTATACTTAATTTCCTCAGTATCTGTGTGTTGATGCAGTTTTTTTTTTAATGTTTATTTTTGAGAGAGAGAGAGAGAGAGAGAGAGCGCACAAGTGGGGGAGGAGCAGAGAAAGGGAGATACAGGATCTGAAGCAGGTTCCAGGCTCTGAGCTGTCAGCACAGATCCCGACGTGGGGCTCGAACTCAGGAATCGTGCGATCATGACCTGAGCCGAAGTCATCCTAGGTGCCCAATCCAGTTTTATTTTGTACTTTTGTATTCCCTGACTACTTTTTAGAATTTGTTTAGTGATAGAGTCATTGTATAGTTCTTTTAATAAAACTATCTTTTGAGTTTTATATTTTTGACAGTTTTCTTTGTTTCTAATTTGTTAATTTTTGCCTTTTCTGATTCTTTTACTTTTTGCTCAAGTTTATCATTCTTTTTCTTCCTTAGAATGTTGTGAATTCAATTATTTTCATTTGTTCTTATTAAATACTATAAAATTTTCAAGTTATGAGTTTTTCTAACAGCTTCATTAGTTGAATCCTATGTTCTCACAATAAAATTTATTAATGTTTTATATGTTTTACAGTGTTGTGTTTCACTTCTTCTTTGACCCAAGGGTAGTTTTAGATTTTTAAAAACTTTTTCCAGTTGAAATCTTGAGTTGTCTAGGTAAATAATCCTAGGTAGTAATAGCCAGGAATTCCCAATTTTGCCTTTCTCTTCCTTGGTCTGTTTAGCCCATGGCACAAACCTCTTCTTGTGGAACTAACCAGAATTGGTACAGAACAGGTGGGTCTGGACTTTGTTTTCCAGAGTAGTCAGCACCTTAGAGGAATGTGCACTTCCAGGACTCCATAAATAACCAGAGAACTGAAGCATAACTCTCTATAAAAATTGAAATAACAAAAATAGGTACTCTTAAGGATTTAAAATAAGCATGATAAATATTTTGGATGAAATACTAATATAAAGAGATACATACTTAAGCAGAGAATTGGAGGTAAGGAGTTTGGGGGGATAAGCCATCATTTGGTACTTTATGTTGAAGAGTTGATAAAATATTTGTTATCCTAATAAAAAGCTGAGGAACAAAGAAAAGTAAAAGGAAAGTTACCCAGAACAAAAATTCTAGTTAATGTCAACATAAAGAGAGCTAAATGGGGAGAAGACCTAGGAACTTACCAGAGTGTGGTGGAATACTTGTCTTGTTAGTGGAAAGATAATACTTCCTGATAAGTTGAAGAAATTATTAGAATCACATGAAGAAGATGTGGTGTCCGTTAAGGACATCATAAGGACAAATTTTTATAACTTTAAAGCATCAGGAGAAAACGCTGTTAACCCACTGGTAAAAGGAATGAAAGAGGGAAAGAAAGAATAATAACGAAGTAATGACAAATGCTGAATCCTAAAATACCATTAAGATAGCTCGTCGATAAGACACAGCCGAGTTTAATGCTAACTGTGGAATGTAGATCACTACCTAACCAGAGCCTTAGTAACCTGTCAGAGGACAAAGTTGAGATATTTATTGAGATTTTAAGTCTGGGTTAAGATGGGCCCTTCAGTTGGGGTAGGGGTGGGTACTTGGTTATGATTAGGTAAGGACCATAATATAATAGTTTTGGATTGATAAGCAGAGAATTGGAGGTAAGGAGTTTGGGGGTATAAGCCATCATTTGGTACTTTATGTTGAAGAGTTGACAGGTCTTTCAGAAAGTTCCTGGAATGAACAGTAAAATAATTTTGCAACTTTTATCCTTTTATCTTTCTGGCAAGGATAACAGTAAACTCATGTTGATGAAGACAGTATAATAATGAAGCCGTTTTAATGCAGATAATAACGAGTGTGGATGATTTTCATTCTCAGAAGATAGAAGTAATTGAGGAGGACTCATCTGCTGTTACTTATATTTTTTTTTACTGTGCTATTAGATTTGTTTTAGATTGTATTCAGGATTTTTGGAGTTTTATTTGTTACTAAGAGTGACCTATTTTCTTGTCATATGTTTACAGTGTCTAGTTTTGATATCAGCTAGTTTTGTTGAATTTGTTCCTCCCTGAATTGTTTTCCTTTAACATCAGGTTTCTCTCTCTCTCTCTTGAAGATAGGTAGATCTTACTATTTTAATTTTTTCTACTTACATTTTGTTTAATACCTTTTTTTTCAATATGATTAACCTGCTTTTTCATTGTTAAGGATTGTTATAGTTTCCATTTTACTGTGGTCTTTTAGTCTTATTGTGCTTTTATTAATATTTCTAAGTATTTTTTTTTTTTTTGCTCCTTCTGTGAATTTGTACCAGAAGAACGTGGTTCTTATGACTTAGCTTATCATCTTGAACCATCCTCCCCATTTCCTGAGTTAATCCTTTTTTAAAAAAAAACTTATCTCTGTTAAGTAGAGATCTCATACTGTGACCAGGAAGAAAATGAAGGAGAACTATAATTTTAGTTTCCTTTACCTTCCTATTAGTTGTCAACATGCCATCTTTAGGAATAGCTATTAAACAGTGTATATTATTTATTCTTAAGGAAAAGTGAACCATGTTGGGTATTCTTTTTGGTCCTTATATTTCTACTTCGATTTTTACATATTAAACAATTAAAACAGACCTTGTATGAAGGGCGTGTTTTTAATGACAGTTTTCCCCCCCACCCCAAATATAGGAAGTTCACAAATGGGTGCTACCATAGTAGATGCTTTGGATACCCTTTATATCATGGGACTTCATGATGAATTCCGAGATGGGCAAAAATGGATTGAACACAACCTTGATTTCAGTGTGGTGAGTATACAGTTGATGACTTCTTTGATCAACTCTGCAAAGACCCTGTCTAATAAACATAGTGGTTTTGAGCATTTTGCTAGCAGTTTAAGGAAATCATAAATTCCCTGTCCTCCTTTGGGATTAGAGTGGTTATTTAACTTTTACATAAAATACATACCCTTTCTCATCTTCCTTTCACTTTTCTTGATGTTATCATTTGAGGCAGTGTGTTCAGTGTGTTAAGCAGTAGTTACAAAAAAAAAACCCACATTGAACTAGAAATACCAGGAATGCATAAACTCCTTTATAAACAATTAAGCATTTTGTTATTTTTAAAAGATTCAATAATTCAGTGCAGGTTTAATGAGCCTTCATAACTAGGCCTATGGCCATGCTTCCAGCATTTTGCATAGTTGATAAGTGATGCGGCTGAAGTTTGAAGACCAGCACGGCTACATCCTAGTTGTGTGACTTGGGAACATTCCTTATTCTTTCTGAATGTGTCATAAAATTGCTATCACAATGCAGTATTGTAAGGATTATTTGAGATAATCAGATACACGTTAAGTACTCAGTAAATGGTAGCAATTGTTTTCATTATTACCAGTATTCACCCACAAGGTATATGGGCTGTTTTGTTTTACTCATTATCACCTTTCATGACATTTGTGATTGTTCTTCTTTTTGACTATAGTCAGAAGTCACTCTTTTACTGTGTTGTTTTTGTTTGTTTTTTTTTTCCTTTGGCAGACCCAATTTGTCATTCAAATTGTGATTTAAATCCATAATTATTTCTTCTCTCATGCTTTCCTGATGCTAACCACACATATCTGGATTACTTTCTTTTATATGATTCTAGCATTTTGGACATATATCAGTTACCACTTGGGTTTAAGTTTGTGAGTGGCAGAAAATCTAATATAAAAGAGCTTAAATATAGATATGTGTTTCTCTTTCATGAAAATTAGGCACAGAGACCAGCAGCTTAGGGGTGGCTTGGATAGATCCTTGATCCTCAGGGATCTAAGATCCTTTGTCTTGTTGCTTTCTCAGTGTGTAGCTTCAACCTCGTGGTACAAGACGGCTTCTTGATAAGGTGGGTCAACCTTTCAGTTGTAGAAAAGAGGAAGGATCCATGACTCTCCTGTGAGAACACCTTCCAGGAGTGGGTTACCCTGATTTTGCTTGTATGCTGTTGAGTAGATCTGACACATACAGCCCAACCTTGATGCAAAAGGAGGCTGAAAAATTTAGTCTTTTTTTTTTTTTTTTCCTCTCTCTGTTTGGCCATGTAGTCCTTATAGGATGTGCTTCTTGTTTAAGAAATCCCTACTCCAAGGTCATGAGGATAAATTCTTGTGTTTCATTCTAAGTTTTTTAAAGTTGGGCTTTTGCATTTAGGTCTTTAATCCACATAAAATTGATTTTGTATGTAGGGTGAGCTGGACAGGCAGCAGTTTATTCTAGCACCATTCGTTTCCCTGCTGTTTATACATGGCCACACGGGTCACAGGGGCCTATTCTTTTCTTTTGGCTTTTTTCTTTATGCTTATGACATCAATACTTAACTGTCTTAACTATGATATTTTTATAGGAAGTTTGATATCTGATCTTGTTCTACCAGGAAATTATCTTAGCAGTTCTCTGCTCTTTGTTCCTGTAAGCTCTGGGGTGCTGTTGACATTTTGATGAGTCTTGCATTCAATTTACAGATTAATTTGGAGAGAATTGGCATCTGTACGGTCTCAAATACTCCTGTCCCCTAACGTGGCAGCTTTGTAAGGCCTAATAATATGCTGGTATATCATTGTATCAGTTGGCTCAGTCAGGAGCCAGAACTGTGCCATTTATTTTAATTAGAGGATTTAATGTTTACAGTTGTTAACCAAGTAATGGGAAACTGAGAAGGCAAAGAGAACATTGTGGTGTCACAAGAGATAGTAGCTATAGTAAACACCTACCTCCCTGGGACTCTGAGAACAGTGGGAAGAAGTTGGGACTATTAAACGAGTAATTTGGAACTCTGTTTCTGGTACTTTAGGAGCTCTTAAGAGGGCTTTTTTTTAGAGCTGGGACTCGGACCTCTAAGGAGATGGTACCTACCTAGTGCTTGGTATTTCTAAGGGCCACAGGGAGGCTGATTTAAAGAAAGTGTGTGTGGCAGGGAAACTGTAACCTGGAACCAACAGCCACTGCCAGGGTGAAGAACCATGACTCATTTGACACTGTCCAAAACCGGAGGTAAATTGGAAGGAATAAGTCCTTTCTCCTTCTTCCAGCTGTACGTTATCTTTGTAAAACTTCCTGTTGGCATGGCCCATAATGGAGCCAGCTGGCTAACGAGACATATGTTCACACAGTTCCAATTCCAGGGTACCAAAGTAGAGTATAGAAGGATAAATTTGAACCTGAGGAGAAAGAGCTTAATAATTAGCGCAGTCATTTGCCATCCCCGTACTTTTAACCTTTCTGTGTCCTGTGTTTTAGCTGTATATTTTGCATGTAGTATGTATTTGAATTTTGTTATTTTTATCCAGTCTTGGAGTCTTTTAACTGTCAAGTTTGGAATATTTACATTTATTGTGATAACGTGTATTTGGAGTTGGGTCTTCATCTGTGTTTTTCAACCTGTTTTATTATTGTACTTTTCATTGTTTTTATTTTCTGTTTTCCTTCTTTTGGATTAAATTACTTCTTGGCTCTTTTTCCCTCTACTACTTTGACATTTTACTTGTCATTTCCACTCATTTTGGGGTTATCCTTAAAATTTCATGTGCATACTTCTCACAGTTTAAAATGAACCGGTTTCTTCATCCTCCTTCTGAAGACCATAAGGATCTTAGAATGCTTTAATTTAGCTCATCTCCCTCTTGTCTTATGTGTAATCACTGTCTAGCTGGTTCCAACTCGTATTTGAAACTTCAAAATTAAGGAATGAATGGATGGATGACTGACAAATGAAGGAATAAATAAATAATTCATTCATTAAATGCCTCCTCTGTGACAGGTGCTCTTCTGGCTTATGTGAATGTAGTAATGAGCAAAACTTCTTCTCGAGTTTGTACTCTGGTTTTGGGAGAAAACCAGTAAATAAATATTCAAGTCCTGTTTAATATATCAGGTGGTGATAAGTGCTATGGAGAACAATAAAGGGGAGCAAGTAGGATTGGAGTAAGTGGTGGTGTGGGGTTGCTATTTACATGGGATAGCTAGTGAGAGGGACTCTTTGGTGACATTTCTGAGGAGAGACCCAATGGAAGCCATTTGGATATAAGGCTCTCTCATAATAGATACTATAGTTGAGTGTAGAATATAGTTGTGTGGAGGTTGATTAGTTTCTCTTAACCTTTGAAGGGTACAATTCCATTGTCTTCCTGTTTCTGTCATACTATTGAAAAGTATGCTGTCAATCTAATATTTCACAAATAATCTGTCTTTTTCCCCTTGTTTTCATTTTTTCTATTTTTCTGCATTCTATAATTGCATTACCATGTGTCCATGTGTGGATTATTCGTTAAAGGACTCGTAATGTTCCATCAGTCTGAAGACTTATGTTTTTCTCACTTCTGGAAGATTTGCAATCATTACTCCTTTGAATAATGCCTGTCTTCCATTCTCTCCCTTCTCTCCCTCTAGAACTTCTCTTCTGTGTCTCTTGTGAAGGAAGGTCTGAATTTTACAAATATAGAATTATATGTAATTAGATGTTGATAAGTGTTAATTGGGGAAATAATGGAGGCTAAGAGATATTAGTGATGAAGGTGTACTTTATTATTTTATATTGTGTGGTTAGAAAAACTTCCCGTTTGGAGACCTGTAAGTAAAGCATAAAGACTGAGTTTGGTAATTCTTGAACAGCCAGTAGAACCGTTTGGTAATAAAAGTCAAGAGATGTTGAAAGGAGATGATGTCAGACAGGTAGTGGGGAATCTGATTATGTTGGGTCTTACCAGTTATTTTACTCTGAGTGTAACCAGAAGTTATTGTAAGAGTTTGTACACAACAGTAACCTGACCTGACTTAAAATGTAAGAGGTTCACTCTGCCTGCAGGGTGCTGAATAAATAGATTATAAGGAGGAAGGTAAGGCTGAAATCAGGGAAACTGTTTAAGAAGGTTATTGTTTTAGTGAGTTATAGAGGCCTGCCCTCCCTCCCTCTTTTGCTTCTTCTCTGTATTTAGTGACTGTCGCTCTGTGCCCTGCAGTATGCTGTGTATTGGGAATATATGAAGTAATGTAAAGCATTTTGCTTTTATGGATGGGGTGGGAGGAGATATATGTTACTAAAAAATTCCATTCTGAAAATTCTATTTTGGAGATATATACTTGTGTTAGCAAATTATGTGTTCTGCCTATAAATGTTGGAAAGGCCTTAGGGGATAATATATATTTTCTTTTAATGTTTATTAAAAATTAGTTATGAACGTTAGCTTTATTATTTATTTAGGGAGAGAGAGAGAGAGAGACAGCGCACATGCATACACACAAGCAGTGGAGGAGCAGAGAGAGAGGGAGAGAGAAAATCCCAAGCAGGCCCCTCCCTGTCAGTGCAGAGCCCAACCCTGGGCTTGAACCCACGAACTGTGAGATCATGACCTGAGCCAAAATTGGAAGGCAGACAGTTGACTGAGCCACTCAGGCTCCCCATGAACGTTACCTTGATATTAGTCAGTTGTGTGTATTGTGTGACTTCTTTGCTCATGTTCTCTGCCACTTCTACTTTTCTTTCCATGTAATTAGAATTTTTCTTATCTATGTCTGTATCTAAATACAAACATGTAGACTTTATATGGTAAGGTTATTAATACTGCTATATTTGTGCCAAATTTCCTTCTGTTTTTTGTTTGCCTTTGAATTTTGTTCATAATTTTTTCTTCTAGGTAATTGTCATTCTGGGGAAATTCAGGTCTTTGTGTTTGGTATCAATACAGTTGGTTTTATGCTTACAAAGTACCTGCTTTGTCAAGGAAATTCATGTTGTCACATTTTCTTCTACTTTTTTATTGTAATTTTTTCTACATTTATTTCTAAATTATTTGGATATCGTTTTGAGAGAGAGAGAGAGAGATGTATCTGAAATGAGTATCCAAATTTCTAACCTAGGAGCCAGTTTTTCAACATTATTAATTGAATAATCCATCATCCTATCATTTTTTGGTGCCTCTGTTAACATTTATTAAATTTTTATACATACTAGGAAAAAATACTTAAAATTCATGAGAAATATAAGTAAAAATGGGCAGTATGCTGTAATGGAGGGAAAGGGATCAGTAGACAGACCGCTATTCCAGAATTCAAGAAGTGGAGGCTCTCTTGAGGAGAGACTAGTCAAGAGCATCAAATATCTTGATAATTTCACAGTGCTATGTAAGGTACACACAAATGGTTTCAGCCAATAGGAAGCCATGGTGACAATAATAGGGGAGTTTCAGTAACATTAATAAATGGGAGGTGAGATTGCAGTTGCGTGAGAAATGAAGATGTGGAAAGCAGAAAAAACCATCCTCCACAGGGTGTTTGTGAGAAACTTATGACGAATTGAAAATATTTGGAAACTATAAAGCTTTAATGTGTATGTGAATATTTTCAATATGTTTTCACAGAATTCAGAGGTGTCTGTGTTTGAAGTCAACATTCGATTTATTGGAGGCCTGCTTGCAGCGTATTACCTTTCGGGAGAAGAGGTGAGCCACTCAAGTAATACATTGTTTGGAGGAAGGGCTCTGAATGGACTTTAATAAAATAATGAAAGATTCCCCTAACAGCATATTGTTTTGCTTAATTGACTAATATTGAGCACATGTAAAGGTTTGCTGAGAGAGCTGGCTGCTTCAGGTGGAACTGGCCTTGGGAAGAATGATTTTGCCATTTTGAGAATCTCAGTAAAACAAGTAAAATCACAGGTCCTATCTCTGTATATACCCCTTCTCCTTTGCAGAAGCAATCCTTCTCCAGGATTTTGCCACCGCAATTAATCACATGGTCGAAACAAGGAGTAGGGGGGCAGTTAATAAGATCAGAATTAAGGAATGAATCAGGTTGCATGAATATGGATCCTCCTAAGACCAAAAATTAGTTATTAAAACTGCCTGATTGGAAATTGAATGCAAGTTTTTGCTGTAAATTTAAAAAAACAACACAGGAACAACTCTGAATTCTTCTTTCCAGAAGTCTTGGTGTATGTAATACACATAGACTTGTGACCTGCTGTGATGGGAAAGTGGGTGTGGGAAATTCCTTTTTGCTACTACTCGGGTGTGGGTTAAAGGATGGGGTTTGGAGAGTAGGTGAAAGAGAACCTAAAGGAAGAGCTTATAAGTCATTTCTGCTTCATTTCCTGAGAAACTTACATATTTAATTGGTTTGTTGATCTAAATGATTGTAAGAGCTCTCTGTAAATTTAAGAAAATTCATCTTTTGTTGTATATGTTGTTAAAGATGGATTTCTTTGTTGTTGGTGTTTAAGAAATATTTGCCTAATCAAGGTCAGGAAGATTTTCTCATGTTTTCTTCTAATAGGATTATGGTTTTACTGTTAACTTTTAAATGTATAATTCATTTTGAGTTGATTTCTGTACATGCTGTGAGGTATAGGTTGAGCTTTCTTTTTTTCCTTCTGGATATCCAAAAATTCTAGCAACATTTGTTGAAAAGACTCTCCTTTATTTAATTGACTTTGTTCTCCTCTTGAAATCCATTAACCATATATGTGTGAGTCGACTTCTAGACTGTGTGCTGTTGCTTTGCATGTGTTTGTCCTTTTGCTACACTGTATGAACTACACTGTGTTCGTTATTATGGAAGTCTTGAAATCGGGTTGTGTGAGTCTTCCAACTTTGTTCCTTTTCAGAATTGTCGTGGCTATTCCAGGTACTTTATTTTCTATGTAAACTTCAGAATCAGTTGCTGATTTCTACAAAATATTCTACTGGGATTTTGATGGAGGTTACTTTGAATCTATACATGAATTTAGGGAAAATTGATATCTTAACAAATATGGAATCTTCCAAGCCACGAACATGATGTATCCTCCTTTCATTTTCTTCCTTGGTGTTTCTAGTTTTTAGCATGTAGATATTTTACATATTTTGATAGATTTATACATATTTTATGCTTTTTGGTTCTAAGTTGTACTATATTTTTTATTTCAATTTCCAGTTGTTTATTGCCGGTGGATATAAATACAATTGATTTGAAAGTAAGTTTTAATAAAGATTTAAATTTTCAGCTGATGTAGGACATTTTGTTTATCACTAGATAACTTCCTGATGCTTATCATTTTTAAAAATACTGTAAAATATACATAACAGAAATTTCCATTTACCATTTTTTTATAAATTTTTTTTTTTTTAATTTTTTTTTTTCAACCTTTATTTATTTTTGGGACAGAGAGAGACAGAGCATGAATGGGGGAGGGGCAGAGAGAGAGGGAGACACAGAATCGGAAGCAGGCTCCAGGCTCTGAGCCATCAGCCCAGAGCCCGACGTGGGGCTCGAACTCACTGACTGCGAGATCATGACCTGAGCTGAAGTCAGACGCTTAACCGACTGAGCCACCCAGGCGCCCCCTCCATTTACCATTTTTAAGTATATGATTCCGTGGCATTAAGAACAACATTCATGTTGTGCAGTATACAGTTGATTTTTATATTGACCTTTGTACCCTGAGATTTTCTTAAATTCACTAATTCTAGTTGCTTTTAAATAGATTTTAATAGATTGGGAATTTTTTTTGTAAATGATCATGTCATCAGTGAATAGTTTTATTTCGCTGTGTAGGGAACAATTTCATTTGTGTAGTTCTTTTCTTTCTTTGTCTTGCTTTACATCCTTATCAATTTCCTGATCTTACAGGAAGAACATTTAGTCTTTCACCATTAAGCATAAATGTTAGTCATAGGTTTTTTGTAGATACCCTTTATCACCTTGAAGAAGATCTTTTCCATTCCTAGTTTGCTAAGATTGTGTGTGTGTGTGTGTGTGTGTGTGTGTGTGTGTGTGTGAATGGATGTTGAACGTTGTCAAATGTATTTGTGGTATTTAATAAGGTGATTATACACATATGATTTTTCTTTTATCTGTTGATATTGGTTGATTTTTGAATGTCAAACCAAGCTTGCACTTTTGGGAAGAAACCCCAAAATGGTCATGGTGTATTATCTTTTTATATACTGCCAGAATTAATTTGAAACATTGTTGAGAATTTTTTTCACATATTCATGTGGGATATTTATCTATATGTAGTTTTAATGTTTTCGTGTGTGTGTGTGTGTGTGTGTGTGTTTTATAGAAGAGTAATGCTGACTTCCTAATATGAGTTGGGAAGTGTTTCCTCTTTTCTTCTTCTTCTGGAGAAGTTAGTGTATAGTTGACATTATTTCTCCTTTACTTGTTTGGGAAAATAAATACCCTTCTGAAGCCATGCGGTTGGAATTTTTTGTTTTTGTTTTTTCACTTAAGTTTTAAAACTATTCTATTTCTTTGGTAGATATAGTACTGTTCAGATTATTTCTTCTTGAGTAGTTTTTGTAGTTTGTGTATTTCAGGGAATTTGCCTATTTCCTCTCAGTTGTGTAGATAGTAGACATAAAGTTGTTTGTAATATTCCCTTATTATCCTTTTCCTATCTGTGGGATCGCTAGTAGTCTCTCCTGTTTCACCTCTTTTTGTCAGTCTAGATAGGTGTATTAATATTACTGATCTTTTCAAAGAACTTGGTTTTACTGATTTTTCTCTATTTCATGCAATTTTATACCTGCTTTCATTCTTGTTTACTTCCTTCTGCTTGCTTTGAGGTTTATTTGCTCCCTTTTTTTCTTCCAGTTTTTTAGATTTGGAGCTTAGATCATTAATAGGACACCTTTCTTTCTTTTTTTAAAAAAATATAAGGGGCTCCTGGGTGGCTAAGTCGGTTAAGCATCCAACTTCGGCTAAGGTTATGATCTCACAGTTTGTGAGTTTGAGCCCTGAGTCAGGCTCTGTGCTGACAGCTCAGAGTCTGGAACTGCTTCAGACTGTGTGTCTCCCTCTCTCTCTCTGCCCCTCCCCTGCTCACGCTCTGTCTCTCTCAAAAAGAAAAAAATAAATAAATAAATAAAAATAATAAATAAATATATAACAGTGATGCCGTAAATTCACTTCTCAGCCCTTCTTTAGCTGCATCCTCTGAATTTTGATATATTTTCATTTTCCTTTAATTCAATATATTTTCTAATTTCGCCATAAATTTGCTTCTCAGCCCTTCTTTAGCTGCATCCTCTGAATTTTGATATATTTTCATTTTCCTTTAATTCAAAATATTTTCTGATTTTCCTTCCCTTTGATTCTGGAGTTATTTAGAAGTATATTTAAAAATTTCAAATATTTCAGGGTTTCCATATATCTTTCAATCATTTCTAGTTCAATTATTTTGTTTGTTGTTTTTGTTTATTTTAAGTAAGCTTCACTCCTAGTGCAATGCCCAACACAGGGCTTGAACTCAGGACCCTGAGATCAAGACCTGAGCTGAGAACAAGAGTTGGAAGCTTAACTTCTAGTTTAATTTTTTTTATGTTTTTTTTTCAATATATGAAGTTTATTGTCAAATTGGTTTCCATACAACACCCAGTGCTCATCCCAAAAGGTGCCCTCCCCAATACCCATCACCCACCCTCCCTCCCTCCCACCCCCCATCAACTCTCAGTTTGTTCTCAGTTTTTAAGAGTCTCTTATGCTTTGGCTCTCTTCCACTCTAACCTCTTTTTTTTTTTTTTTTCTTCCCCTCCCCCATGGGTTTCTGTTAAGTTTCTCAGGATCCATATGAAAACCATATGGTATCTGTCTTTCTCTGTATGGCTTATTTCACTTAGCATCACACTCTCCAGTTCCATCCATGTAGCTACAAAGGGCCAAATTTCATTCTTTCTCATTGCCACGTAGTACTCCATTGTGTATATAAATGACAATTTTTTTGTCCATTCATCAGTTGATGGACATTTAGGCTCTTTCCATAATTTGGCTATTGTTGAGAGTGCTGCTATACACATTGGGGTACAAGTGCCCCATGCATCAGTACTCCTGTATCCCTTGGGTAAATTCCTAGCAGTGCTATTGCTGGGCCATAGGGTAGGTCTATTTTTAATTTTTTGAGGAACCTCCCCACTGTTTTCCAGAGTGGCTGCACCAATTTGCATTCCCACCAACAGTGCAAGAGGGTTCCTGTTTCTCTAGTTAATTTTTGTAGGCAGTTAATATGGGTCAGAATATGGCCTGCTTGAAAAAGAATGTGTACTTGAAAAGAATGTGTATTCTGTTGTGGTTCTGGTAAAAAAAAAATCAATGAAGTCAGTTCATAGTGTTACTCAGATCTTCTGTAATTTTACTAATTTTGTGTCTACTTGGTCTGTCAAATACTAGGTGAGGAGTCTTGAAACCTCCAAATATAATTATGGGTTTGCCTGTTTCTCCTTTCAGTCCTACCAGTTTTTACTTTATGTATTTTGGAGGCTTATTCTTAGGTATACACCTATTTTATGATTGTTGTCTTTTTGGTTGATCCTTTTATTTAAAAATTTTTCTTTTTATCCTTGGTCACATTCTCTGTTCTTAAGTCTTGTTCCTCTGATACTGATACAGTCACTCTGGCTTTATTTTATGTAATGTGTGCATCGTACATCTTTTACCCTATATGTTTTTATATTTAAAG